CCGCAAAGCGGCGTGATCAGTGAAGACTATGACCTTGGAACCTAGGAGATAAGACCGGAATTTGTCTAAGGCGAAGACCACAGCTAGCAACTCTTTCTCGATGGTAGTGTAATTCAATTGTGCATCCGAGAGAGTGCGACTAGCATAATATATAGCAAATGGTGCCTTATTGACCCTTTGGCCCAACACAGCCCCGACAGCATAATCAGAGGCATCACACATGATTTCAAAGGGAAACGACCAATCTGGTGATTTCATGATTGGGGCGGTGGTCAAGGCCATTCTTAGTGTTTCAAATGCCTTTAAGCATGCCTCATCAAAGATAAAAGGCGCGTCCTTAACCAGTAGACTACACAAAGGACGTGATATCTTACTAAAGTCTTTGATGAACCTACAGTAAAAACCTGCATGCCCTAAGAAAGACCTAATTTGACGCACGGAATTGGGTGGAGGAAGGCCTGCAATTAGGTCAACCTTAGCCTTGTCAACCTCTATACCTTGAGGGGACACAATGTGTCCCAACACTATACCCTCACGAACTATAAAATGGCTCTTTTCCCAACTCAAAATGGCCATCATACACCGTTGAAAGGTCGCCGGTGCATTACATAGCCCGAAAGGCATGCGCCTGTAAGCAAAAGTGCCAAAAGGACATGTGAATGTGGTCTTTTCCTGGTCAGCGGGGTGTACCGGGACTTAATTATACCCCGAGTAGCCATCGAGAAAACAATAGAACCCCTGCCCCGCTAACCACTCTAGGATTTGGTCAATGAAAGGTAAAGGAAAATGGTCCTTCCTAGTCGAGGAATTTAGTCTCCTATAATCAATGCACACTCGCCACCCAGTAGTGGTTCGTGTGGGGACTAATTCTCCTCCCTCATTCTCAACAACAGTGATGCCCGATTTTTTGGGTACCACTTGTGTGGGACTCACCCACTTGCTATCTGAGATGGGGTATATGATACCCGCATCCAACAATTTCAAAACCTCCTTCTTCACCATCTCTTTCATGTTAGGATTCAGTCTCCGTTGCATTTCGCGAGAAGGTTTGGTGTCCTCCTCTAGGTGTATATAATGCATGCACACGGAGGGATCTATCCCTTTCAAATCAGCCACTAACCACCCTATAGCACTCCGATGTGCCACAAGAACACTCATTAACTGACTCTCCTGCGCTACAGTCAAGTCAGATGTAATGATGACCGGTAAAGTATCTTGGGGCCCTAAAAATGCATACTTGAGTGTGGCTGGAAGTGGCTTCAACTCAAGTGTAGGTGGTATGACCAAAGAAGGTGTGGCAGGCTCTCTCGATAGAGGAGGAAGTGACTCAAACCGGGCTCTCCATGGAGGAAAATCCGGTGTAGAAGAAGAATTAAGCAAGACATTCACCTCCTCAACTGACCCATCTATATCAAAATTTTCAAACCCAAAATGAGCTAGACAAGCCTCTAAAGGGTCCTCTACAAGAATGGAGGGCAAAGCCTCCTCGATAATCTCATCCACAACATCCACTAATAAGCACTCCTCTCTCTCGTGAGGTTGTTGTGATGCTTGAAAAACATTAAGTTTCACTTGTATGTTACGAAATGAAACTTCCATAACCCCGGTCCGACAATTAATGCATGCATTGGCCGTAGCCAAGAAAGGTCGACCCAAAATCACCAGGATTTGTTTCCTCGAACTGGCTACCGGTTCCATATCTAAAACCAAAAAGTCAATAGGGAAGTAGAACCTATCAACGTTAACTAGCACATCCTCAATCATGCCTCGTGGCACTTTGAGGGACCGATCGGCCAACTGAAGAGTAAACGTAGTGGGCTTCAACTCGCCAACCCCAAATTCCTCGTACACAGAGTACGGCAACAAATTTACACTAGCTCCTAAATCTAATAAGGCCCTATCAATGAAATGGTCCCCAATAATGCATGCAATGGTTGGGGCACCTGGGTCCTTAAGCTTAGGAGGTGTGTCATTCAACAAGATGGAGCTTACTTACTCCGTAAGTAGGACCTTTTGGGACACATGTGTCCTAGATTTACGCTTTTGCGTACAAAGGTCCTTCAGAAATTTGGCATATGATGGTACTTGCTTAATCGCCTCCAACAGGGGGAGGTTGATTTTTACCTATTTAAAGACCTCCATCATTGCCTCCAAAGATGCCGCATTTTTATTAAAAGGGGACGGTGTATCAAGGCACTGGGGAAAAGGTGCCTTAGGCACATATGGTGCCTTAGGCTCAAATGAAGTGCTTGGGACTAAGTCATCCCTCTTAAGTGTTTCTCCCTCACCCTTACTCTCACTAGATGAACCACCGTGGTCACCCTTCCGAACTCTAGTTGCATCAGACGCAACTGACTGAGGCTCTAGCTCCCTACCACTTCTCAAAGCAACCACCACCTGCACTTACTCATGTTGCTTACCATTCCCACCCGAACTCTCTGCCCCGTATTGTCCCTTAGGTTTGGCCACAGTTTGACTTGGTAATTTTCCCTCCTCTCTCTGATTCATGTTGTTAGCCATTTAACCCAATTGGGTCTCTATCTTGGCAATAGAGTGAGTGTGGGAGTGAACTATTGGTGCTAACCCCTTAAGTTCTAAGAGAACTTCCAACACCTGAGTCTCAAAGGCAGAGTTGCCCTGAGGAACAGGCGGGGGTTGTGGTTGTGGTTGCCGGTATGGTTGTGGGGGTCTATAAGGTTGCGGTGGTCGGTAAGATGATTGGTTGGCAAATTATTGAAATTCTGCCTTGGTGGTGGAGGATTGTAAGAAGTGCCTTGTGAAGGGGGTCTCCATGAGAAATTAGGGTGATTCCTCCATCCCGGATTGTATGTGTTGGAGTAGGGATCATTACCCGGGTTGGAGAATCCTTGAGCTGCATTTACATGCTCTCGAACTAACTCTGGAAATTGTGATGCCGAAGGGCACTCACTCAAGTCATGAGCAGGGCTTGCACAAATAACACATGCCTCGTGAAATTGAGGCTGAACTTGTTGGGTAGGGGCATGTCCCGTAGCTAATAATTGGTCCATCTTGCGAGACAGTGCCTCTACTTGTTGGGCTAACTCTAGGTTTTGCCCGACCTCATAAATGCCCCTCTTTTCGGGGCTCCAACTACGGGTTGCCGGACTTGCCGGGCTACGGAGGCATGGTGAAGGGAATTATCACTTAAGTTCTCAAACAATTGCCATGCCTCGGCATCATTTTTAGACATGAATGTCCCACCACAGGATGAACCCACCATTTGGCAGTGCGGCTCAGTTAAGCCATAATAGAATGTTTGAACAAGTTACCAATTAGGCACTTGGTGGTGAGGACACTGTTGGAGAAGGTCTCTAAGTCTTTCCCACGTCTCATGGAATTGCTCGCCATCCATTTGAGCAAAGTTTGTGATGGCTCGCCTAAGTTGGTTGGTTTTACCTATGGGAAAAGTACTTCTCCAAGAACCGTTGCTGTAATACATAACACTATCCTCCTTTTTATTAATAATTTGTTAGTTATATGGATGAAAAAATGATATTATTGTCATTTTTACACGAAAAATATATATTTTACATTGTTTATTATTGTGTTTTCACACAATTTGTATTAATTTTGATTCATTTAATTATATTAAAATGAAAGTTAGTATAATTATGTTAAAAGGAAGTGTAATTTATCTTTTTTTTTAATATACCATCTTTGTTTTTAGTGCCTCTACATATCTTTAAGGCCTGTTGCTTATGAGATGTAGAGGGGGGTTGCTATTGTGGCATAAGGCACAACAACAGCCACAGTGAGTCCTTGTGTTAGCGGTTTGTTCTAAACTTATTTTGATAATCTGAACTGTTTATATTATAAGGTTTTTCGAACATATCATTCATGTAAAAAATTATCGGATATCTATAATCCCATAAATCAAGTTGATCGGGTCCTAATTGTTTCTGCCTGGGGTGCTGCTGCATTAGCATTTTTATATCGACAGTTGGGGTTTGCTAGCCGGTCTGGGGTTAAGCAGATGGGTGGTTATATGACTCTTTTGGAGGCGTGGATTTATGAGCACTTCCGAGCATTCCGACCTCATCAGAACATGGGCTACACTGAAGACATGCCACATGTGTACCATTGGGCATCTAGGAGAGAGGCGGGTTCCTCCATTGACCATTTGAAATCTTTTCGAGCCGAGCTTGACAGTTTAGTAGCTACTGATGTAAGTTTACTCATCCTGCGATAATTTTAACACTTACATTTATCTTACCCTTTATGTACTTTAATGCAAAAACACTTTTACGTTTACAGGTTATTTGGGATCCATACCACAGCTGCAGAGACCGGCATCCATGTAACCCGGTTACGTTCTACCATGGATGCTTAAAGTGCTTAGACGTTGTCGAACCGTATCATCCAGATAGAGTTTTGAGGCAGTTTGGCAGGGTTCAAACCATCCCAGATGCACCGCTAGCTCCCAGTCGTGGTGCACGAGACAACATATCTGCACGTGTACAGATACTTGGATAGGATGTGGGAGGCTTGGGATAACCACGTGTTGTCTGCGCAACGGAGGAGCACACCAGTTCGCCAGCCTTGGCAATGTGTATCGGGTTACATGGATTGGTATAAGAATATCACGCACCTATATGTCGAGCACACTAATGAACCGCGTGTCCATGACCATCAGGATTTCAGCGAACATGCGGATGTAATCTATTATCCTCTCTGATGCATATGTAACTTACTTTTTTTTTCTGATATGTTCCCTAAAATGTGATATTCTTTTCAAATGCAGCGTATTGCACATACACTGCAGATTTCACATCCTATTATTGACGCTGGTTATCAGGAGGGGATTCGCCATCCTTATCAACTTTACCAGGCTATCGAGAGTATGACACATGTTCTTGAAGGTCAGCACATTGACGAAGCTGGACCTAGTTCTGCTGGAGGTCGCTTTCCATCCTTGACATTGACATACAGTCGAAGGCCTAGACGTAGGCATACAGCTGATTCGTGACATGTTATGTTGTTACATGTTATTTTGTTAGTTGATGAATATTGTTTGGTGTTTTTTGTAAGATGACATTGTTGTAATGGTAACAGTGGTTAATATTTTCTTATTAGAACGGAATGGCAACAATGGTGTTGTACTGACATTGTAATGACATTTTTATTATTAGAATGGAATGGTAACAATGGTCGTTGATTTTGTAAATGATATTTTCTTATTACAATGGAATGGTAACAATGGTCGATAACATTCAATCCACATTGCAAAACATAACACATTAACATAAAAAACACATCCATTAATTTCTTCCATAATTGTAACATTGTCAAATGCATACATGTGTCATGCGACATCAACAACATCAAAAGTCTCTCGAGTAGCTACATTATCATGAATAATGTCCTTGAAATGTTGAATGCGGCGCACATATGCATCATCCCAGTCCATAGCGCAAAGGTGACGGTATTTTCTCCAATTAGTGGCAATAGGAGGAACTGGATGGCTTGGCTGCAACAAAACCTGCACCAAATATCAATTGACTTAGTGGTCATACCTCATAACTTCTTGTATATGCATAAACGCAATTGATAAGTTTCTGTTATACCAGGACGAAATGATTTCCGTTGACAAACCCAGTGGCAATCTCACGTCTATCAAGTTGAGGTACTGGCACTGTTCTAAGAGGTAATAAAAAGGTGAGACATTGCTGTAAAGACAAGTGGTATAACACAAGATTGTAGCACGATGCAACAAGATGCCCCATGTCTAGCATAGTCATCCAATGTGAGTATCCAGGACTGTCTTCAAAGTATGACAATATGCTTGTCAATTCTTCAAACCTTTCATAGGACCCATAAAGTGTAATGTATTCCTCTTTGTGTGTGTGCAGCTCACCCAATAGATCACGCCTAACCCAATTGAAGCAGCTATAGCCCTGAAACCACAATTCCCATCTGTAGCTACATCCTTGACAAACTTAATGTATGGTTTTAACCCAGTAGGGAAAGCATCAACATATGCACCAGGTTTCACTGTTCTAGTAATGTATGCCTTCCCTTTCGGGTTCACCTTCTCCTTTCCCTTAACAAGTTGCTTCTTCTTGGTTTGCAGAGTAGAAGCTAATGTAGTGATTTGAGTGTCCCTAGGTGAGAAGGAATCATGTCCAGATTGCACTAACTCAAATGCACACGGGTCACGACGGGTAGAAACATTGATCTTCTTATGATCCCGAGGACGTGTTTTGGGCTTCACCTCCGGCTCAACAAGAAAAGTGCTTTCCGGATATACAATCTCTTTCAACTTCTTCAAAAGCTCCAATCACATGGTTCTATCACTTTCATTAAACTTGTTGACAAACAACTCTACTTCTGCATGACAAGTCACCTCTGTTTCCTCTTCTTTCTTGCATATGGAGATATGAAGTTGCCTCCACTGTGACTGTATGGTAGCAAGTGGTATAGGACGATCTTGTCTGATGTAGTCAGCAATCTCATGGGCGCAAGGTAAACCATGAGTGTGGCGAAGGACGCATCCACAAGCTTCAACATCAATACCAATGGAATTGGCTCTCTTACTCTCGACAAGCAAATACTCCAATGCAGAGATAGACACATTCCCCCGTAGCTCCCTGAATTGAGAAGGTTTAAATTGATGTTGCACAACAGTTAGACTTTTCTCAAATGAAGCCTTGATATCAGTGAGCCTATCATGCTTCTGTTTTTGGCCTTTTTACAGGCCTAGAAATAGTCTTATTTTGACCTTCTTAACATGTTTCATTAAGGGTCTTTGTCTGTTTAGTGAATATTTTGTAGACTTTGTGTTATAGCCTCTTTTGAGCCTTTTTTTGCATTGCATTTCTAGCATGTTTGTATACTGTTTTGGAGTTTTTACAGTTCTATAAACATGCTTATTTTTGGTCCCTCTTCAATGTTGTAGAAGGGAATTTTTCAGTTTGGGCTTGTTTTTGGCCATTTTACAGGCCTAGAGATAGTCTTATTTTGGCCCATTCTACATATTTCATTAAGGGTCTTTGGCTGTTTGGTGAATATTCTGCATACCTCATGTTATAGCCACTTTTGAGCCTTATTTTGCATTGCATTTCTAGCATATTTGTACTCTGTTTTGGCCATTTTACAGTTCTGTGAAAGTGCTTATTTTTGTTTGTTTTTGAGGTTTTTACAGTTCTGTGAAAGTTCTTATTTTTTGCCCCTCTTCAATGTTGTTGAAGGGTCCTAACCTGTTTGAGGACAGAAGCTATGAGTTGCTTCTTAATCCCATGTTTAGGGTCATTTTCGCATGCTAATTTTTCCCTATATTTGCTTGCTTTTTGGCCATGTTTTGTACTAGAAAAATGCTTATTTTGGGGCTGCCTCGCTTCTGTCTTTTCATTCCATGTGCCAATTATGCATGTTTGGTATAGCTATAGGCCATTTCGGGTGCCTAATTTTGCATTTCGGGAGAGATTTCATGCATCGGGTGTACTTTCGCCTCATTTCGGGACTGTTTTCCCCCATATTTCAGTTCTGAAATTCCATTAGCATGTTTGCATATCATTTCCGTGCTATTGCATTGCGTATGCCATTGCCTCGGTTTGCGTGCCCGTGTACACGCATTTCGAGACACTTCATTTTCATCTACCGGCCTCTTATGTGAGTGTGGCTGAGGCGCTCTCATGTTAGTATAAGTCCATGTTGCATTCTATATGCCATTTCCGTGCTATTGCATTGCGTATGCTATCGCCTCGGTTTGCGTGCCCGTGTGCACGCATTTCGAGGCACTTCATTTTCATCTACCGGCCTCTTATGTGAGTGTGGCTGAGGCGCTGTCATGTTAGTATAAGTCCATGTTGCATTCTATATGCCATTTCCGTGCTATTGCATTGCGTATGCTATCGCCTCGGTTTGCGTGCCCGTGTGCACGCATTTCGAGGTACTTCATTTTCATCCACCGGCCTCTTATGTGAGTGTGGCTGAGGCTCTCTCATGTTAGTGTAAGCCCATATCCTATTTCCATGTCATTTGCATTGCGTATGTCATTTTCTCGGTTTGCGTGCCCGTGTGCACGCATTTCGAGGCATCTCATTTTTACGGCATAGCGCATACTAGGTTGTATCTTAGATCGCATTATGTATTTTCTCAGTTTGCGTGCCCGTGTGCACGCATTTCGAGGCATCTCATTTTCATAGCATTGTGCATGCTAGGCTGTATCTTAGTTACATTCATGCGTGTCATGCACATTGCATTGTGTTCGGAATAGGAGTTAGCCCGGGCATGGGTGTTGCATTCTATATGCCATTTTAGCCCTATTACATTGCGTATGCCATTGCCTCGGTTTGCGTGCCCGTGTGCACGCATCTCGAGGCATCTCGAGGCATCTCATTTTCACAGCATAGTGCATACCGGGTTGTATCTTAGATCGCATTCATGCATTTCCTCAGTTTGCGTGCCCGTGTGCACGTATTTCGAGGCATGTCATTCCATAGCATTGTGTGTGTTAGGATTGTATCTTAGTTGCATTTCATGCATGTCATGCATATTGCATCGTGTTCGGAATAGGAGTTAGCCCGGGCACGGGAAACGAGGTGCACTTCGTACTCCGAGTGACGGAATGTATCTCAATTCCCCAGTCACCGACACTCCGGATTATCCATGATGGAGTTAGGCTTTAGCTGTGTTTTCACGTGCATTCATCCCAATATTGACTTGTGCAATTCGACTCCTCGGCCATCATGCCTCGATATGTGGCACGAGGATCGAGGCATGCATACATTTGTGAAAATACATTGCTATGCCCCTTTCCTGCTCTCTGTTGCAGCAAATCAAGAATTGGCCACCTTACGGAGCTTGGCGCGCTTCCCGAGGATAATTGTAAAACAGAGGCTAATCGGGGCATCCTGGTGGATTTCCGCGCAAGACAGCCTAAATGTACATCATTCATCAGAAGCAAGGCAGTCCCTGGCTTGCATGCCAGTTTCATTTATTTTCTTAGTTAATTTGTTAATTAATTAGGAGTTTGTATATTATCTGGACTGTAATATTTGGACTGTCATGCATGATTTCTAATACAAAGCCTGTTTTGCCTTGGAGTACTCGGTGAGTTTTATGCTTTAGCATCCTTGCATGCGTGTGAGTGAATGCCATGATAGCATGCTTACCATGAGGCTAAATGCTTATGTCATATAACTGCCTGAGTGCCTGCGGGTGGAGGTTGGGTTATCTGAATTGGAATAATTCATCAAATGTTTTGTTCCAATTCGGACGGCCCAGTCTATACTTATATGTTGTGCGCATCACATAGTAACCTAGGCTAATAACCGGGATAAGAACACACAATGTTTTCAAAAATTGATATCATGATTAGTAGAGGCCGGTCTATGACCGGGCGAGCGGGGGTGCTCACGAAGTGACCTTCCCCAATCGTACCCAAGTTCCCGAGCCGAGGCAACTTTGGTGATGACGGACATGTGGTCTTTTGGCACCGAGTCAGGGTTTCCTAAATTTCCCATTAAAAAATATTTAGGTGGCGACTCTGTATCTGGCAAAGCAGTCCATGTTTGGCACTTCTTTCAAAAATCAGTTTTTCTCAAAACGATTTGCCGGATTTGGACTCTTTGGTTCAGACTTAGAACCGTGACAAATTTGAGAGTCCGAGCTGTAGTGACCCCAAAATGAACGGAACGGGACTTAACCCTCCCGGGAGCGTTCGGGGACATCTACAGTACTATGCCAAATGTTAGATGTATATTTAATATTTTTTCTTCTAAACACACATTAATGTACTAATTGGGTTTTTATATATATATGTATATATATTAGTTGGAGGATTAAAAAATTTGTAAATTTTGCTGAATAGAAAATCAATCAAAATAACAAAAATTGCAACCAAATAATAGAATGCGAGCCCCGTGAATTAATAATGTAAAAGACAGTCTAAAATATTTTACTTTCTAAATCCCTGAGCAACAAGTACTCCTTCCATGAAGGTCATACTATTATTTTTTCTTTTTT